ATGAGCTTCAGCCAGGTTGCATTACCCCTGTTATTTTTACATCAACATTTTAAAACTCCCTTCAGTCTTGGCCCCAAGCCAGACATAAATTTTTTTTAACAGACATAAACTTTGAGGAGAAAATGAGAGAAAGATAACAAAGAAAAAATAGGGAGGAAAAGAAGAGCTGGGGCAAAACCCCAGAGAGAACCGGCAATCCTGATTCAATTTGCTTTTTCTCTTTTTGGCTCTAGGCAGGCATCCACCCAAATCAGTCTTTTTGAACCAGAAAACTCACCAGCATCAGTCACCTGCTTAATGAGTCAGGCACACAGGTTATTCAACAAGCATACACCTCTCCAGGAAAACCTCTAGGGAATTCAAAGGCATCAAGTTCAGAAGAAGCCTGGGGTTGAACTTCACCTCATACTACCTTGTAGAAACAAGGGTTTGCTAAGTCAGCCTCAATCACACAAGACTGAGGTAAGAAGGGAACTTAGGCTGCCAGAACTTAACAACTGGGATTTTAAGAACCAGCCAGTGGCTATTATGCAATGAGTAGTTTCTGTTTACAAATGCCTCTTTCAAGTACTGGGCCAAATGCCTGGCCCCAGAATGGAAGCACATGCTACTCTTGATCTCAGGGTCGTGAGTTCGAGCCCCACAATGGGTGTAGAGATTACCAGATATTGACAGAAAGAAAGGATAAATGAAGAAATGAATGAATCGGTACTGGATGAGCCTCCCAGATAAAGAGGCAGGTCTTCCACCTAACTTGCCAGGAACCTTGTTACCTATCAGCAACTTATTTCTCTCGTGACCTACTTTCTACTCTGCCCAATGGATAGAATTCTACTTCAGTTTTCCATTTACTGAATTAGAGGACTGGTATGTGTTCAAATGGAATTATGGGTGCAGAATATGTAACAAAATACAAAGGTGCTAAATGAAGCACTATTATTATTAATAATATTAAAATAATGAAGTAGATGTAACCAAACTTTTTTACTTCAGTAGTTAAACAGGCTGACGGCACTAGAGAATCAAGAGTATTAAATAAAAGAAACAAAACTCAGCCACAGAAATGATAATTATTTATTCTAGTTAAATATTTTATGTTAAACAACTTTAGGGCACCTGTGCTCAGTGAAGTGTCTGACTTTGGCTCAGGTCATGATCTCACGGGTTCGCGGTTCCTCTTCCTAGTCAGCTCTAAAGTTGAGTGCCCTAGACCCTTAGCCTGCTTCTCTTCAGCATCTAGGTTCTCTGTGTCTCCTCCCCGCTCTCTCTATTCTCTCAAAAAAATAAACATTAAGTGGCTTGGCATTAGGCTGTTGCTGGCCTGGACTGCCAGGCCCATGATTCATGGTCCGACTGGAGTTCAGCCCCGCTGGTCGGTGGTCAGGCTTGATGGCTCAGGAGCTCTGAGCCTGTTTCCGATTCTGTGTCTCCTCTCTGCCCCTCTCCCCCCCGTTCATATATGTTTGTCTCTGTCCCAAAAAATAAATAAGCGTTGAAAAAAAAATTTTTTTTAAATAAAAAAATAAAATAAATAAATAAATAAACATTAAAAAATTTTTTTAAATGTATGTTTAAAAATAAAAGGCAGGGGGGCACCTGGGTGGCTTAGCCAGCTAAGTGTCCAACTCTTGGTTTTGACTCAGTTCATGAACTTGCACTTTGTGAGTTTGAGTCCCGCATCAGGTTCTGTGCTGACAATGCAGAACCTGCTTGGAATTCTCTCTGCCTTTTCCCCTCTCCCACTCATCACCAAAATAAATATAAAATATAAACACAAAACAACTTAGCTTAGCCTAGGTGGCTCAGTCAGTTAAGCATCTGACTTCAGATCAAATCATGACCTCATAGTTTATGAGTTTGAGCCCCACATCGGGTTCTGTGTTGACAGCTCAGAGCCTGGAGCTTGCTTCAGATGTGGTATCTCCCTCTCTCTCTGCCCCTCCCCTGCTCATGCTCTGTCTCTCTCTCAAAAATAAATATAAAAAAAAGTTTTAAAAAAACAACTTCTAGATGGATCTAAATTAAAATAGGCTAAAAGTTAAGGGGGAAAAAAAAGAGTAGAACATAAAATATGACCTCTCTTTGAAGCCTTAAAGACAATACATTTATACCATCTTGTCACGCTTGATCTAATTAGTCAGGAAAGGCGAGTGTAAATTTTCGAAGATTTTGAAGAAGATTTTAAGGACCAGGCCAAGGTCCTTTTCCATCAGCTGAAAATGAAGAGAGTGCCAAGACTTAAGCACCCAAAACAGCCTCCTTTTAATACCTGTAATCTAAGAAAAACATTCAAGGACTGTGTCACTAACAAGACTGAAAAATCACACCAGTTAGCGGATTTAAAGTCACTTAAGGAATCTGGATTCATCCCACACCAATTAAGTAAGAATCCAGCAACAGTTTCTTTCATGGATATAAAAATGTATTTTCTTCCTGTGCATTATTTTGCTCTCAAATGAGAAATTGTGGAAAGCTGAGGAAGTGGAGAAGCTCACTAGTCTGGTTCAAAACACAAGAGTGAGGGCCGAGCTCACTAAACAATAAACAACCCAAGAGCTGCCTGTAAGGTTTTCAGAGTTACTTAAGGTTGTTGAATCTTAAAAAGTTCCCTATTCCCTATAACAGTTTATTCATGGTAACTTCTGGGTAGGGAACAGTTTCAAGATACACTTCAAGCAAACTATAAATTCATTTTGACACAATAAAATAAATTACTGAAACCCTGGCGGGGAGGGAACCCACTCATTCTAGTATTTTAATCCATGCGTTTTTAGTATTTTGAAGTATTTCCTTCTAGTCTTTTTTCCTATGTTGTTTTTTGCTAAACCACAACTATAATTGTCACATGTGTGTGTTCTATGCCACTCTTCCCCCTAATGTGTAACAAGTATTATTTGATGCTGCTACAGTATCATAAAATCCACTTTAGCTGCCTTTTGTGTGTGTATGTATGTGTGTGTGCGTATATATGTATTTTTATATTTATTTATTTATTTATTTATTTTTGAGAGAGAGAGAGAGAGAGAGAGAGAGAGAGAGAGAGAGAGAATGAATCCCGGGAGGTGCGGGGGGGGGGGGGGGGGGGGGGTTGTTGAGAGGGAGAAGAGGGGCTGACCTAAAGTGGTGTTTTGTGTTCACCCAAAGTAGGGCTTGGGCTCAAGAACCAGGATATCACGACCTGAGCCAAAGTCAGATGCTTAACAAAATGACCCACCAAGATGCCCCAATCTTTTGTTTAAATTGAAAATTTCTATGTAACTATATATTAATAATTTTAATGCATGTTCATTCTGACTCTTGAAAAAAGTATGCAAGTATCTGCTGTTAAATAAGACTAACCCTATGTCTGTTCTCTGTAATGGTAGTACTCACCATAAAACCAAACATAGGACCTAAATAAATAAACTGATGAACTTAAAACAATGTGGCTAGGGGCATCTGGGTGGCTCTTGGTTAAGCATCGGATTTTGGCTCAGGTCATGACCTCACAGTTGGTGGGTTCAAGCCTCATGTCAGGCACTGTGCTGACAGCTTGGAGCCTAGAGCCTGCTTCAGATTCTGTCTCCCTCTCTTTCTGTCCCTCCCCTGTTCACCTTCTGCCTCTCTCTCTCTCAAAAATAAATAAACATTAAAAAAAATAAAAATAAAAAAATAAAAGAATGTGGCTGAAGGATCCCCCAATATTCAGTTAATCTGCTGAACTAGAGACATAGCTCACAACCAGCCCCTTCCTAGGGATGAGGGGCGGAAAAGGAAGAGACAATGTTTCTAACATAGATATAAGACAATGAGCTCTCCTCTTCTCCGCTACTGCCATTGTGCCGTGTGGTGCGGTTTCTCAGTATGTCTTCTCACAAGACTTTCAGGATCAAGCGATTCCTGGCCAAGAAACAAAAGCAGAATCGTCCCATTCTCCAGTGGATTCGGATAAAAACTGGTAATAAAATCTGATACAACTCCAAGAGGCAGCTCTGGAGAAGAACGACGCTGGGTCTACAAGGGATCATACATGAGATGGCACACACTTATGCCGCCTGAAAGTCGTATGTTCCTATTCCATTACATCCTACTCCATCACCTCCCCACTACCTGAACAGCAGATCTGTTTTATCAAGGAAATGACTTTTCTCTGTCATTATGCTTCTGCACCAGTAGGTTGGTTCAGTAATAAACATGAGACTTGATTGAAAAATAAACTGAAATGTAATGGAAATATAAAATAAGTAAACTATAAATATAAAAATACCCATTTTAAACTGTACAACTAAAATTCACATTTACTGCAGAAACTGAAGACTAAGAATGTACGTTTTGTTATTTTTTTTTTTCTTTTTAAAGTAGGCTTCACACCCAGCGCAGAGCCCAACATGGGGCTTGAACTCATGACCCTAGATCAAGACCTGAGCAGACATCAAGAGTCAGACACTAACCGACTAAGCCATTCAGGCACCCTTGTACATCCTGTATATTAAACACATTTCTTGACTAGAGATTTACAGCAATTAAAGACAATGTCTTATTAAGCCCACCCTACTTGGAAATTAAAAATTCATGTCCTTCAAACTATTCTGTAATTTTTTTGATTGGCTTTTCACTTGGCCCTAATTGATCAGTAGTCAGGGTGACTACTAAAATACCCTGTACCATATAGCATGCCCTGGCAATATTTTAAGTATCAAGAATTATTATTTATTCAGATACTGTGCTTAATGCTTTTTACAAACATTATTTCATTGTCCTCATAATAACTCTATGATGTATTTTTATTTCAATTTAAAAAATATGGTGCTGAGAGGCTAAGTAACTTGCCCTGGGTCACGCAAACAGGTGAGAGTGCTGATTCTATCAGGCTGTCTGACTCCAAGGTCCATGCTTGTCATCACTACACTCTGTGGCCTCCTCTGTTTCTCTGTACCTTTATGTTCCCAGTGCTCGGTATTACTCCTTCATTTGCCATTGTTTGTCTTGGACAAATGTATGAAAAGATCTAGACAAGGATTTAAGTAATCAAGAAGGCAACAGGAAAACAGTGGAAACAGACAGAATCATGGTAAAGAAAGCAAGGAGAACCTTGCCCTACAATAAAAGGCCTTTCAAGACCAAAGTCCCTGCATGTTACTGAAGTTCAGCATAAACCTTCTAGTTAGGAAAATGCACAGGAAGCAAATGAAGATGGGTCTCTATGCCGTGCTGCAGCCAACTGTCCCATGAGAAAAGAAATTTATACTTCTCCTAAGAGGTATACAGAAGCTTAGAAGATAATACTCTTCTAAGCCACACAAGCAGAGTTATGGACCATTGTCAGCAGCAACATCACCAGGGATAATAAAAGTTAAAAACTAAGGAGAAAGGCCAAGGAAAACTGTTATTTCCTTAATCTGGAGATGAGAAGACGTTACATAGCCCTGGTTCCCTCTCGCACCCCTCCAAACTTTCTGGGAAAATTCTCAACAAAAAGAGAGGAAGACTACTCACCCAAGAGAGAAGTGCCGCTGCCCGGGTGGCATGGAGTGTCATCTTGGTGACACCAAACAGTCACCCCAATGCACCTGAAAACCAAAAGAAGAGCAGTATATCAGATATCCATGATGAACGATGAAGGGGGAAGTGGTTCAATTTACTGGCTCTTAATATTTAAATAAATCTCTCTTCACACAGCACTTAAATCTACCAAGGCACCATGGGAATTTTGAGAAAGAAGCTCAAAGTACACATTAAAATTACTATAGGGGCGCCTGGGTGGCTCAGTCAGTTGAGCGTCCGACT